GAATACACAGATACAAAATGGACATTCATCAGTATACCCCATTTTTTCTAAGTTCTGTTATTGAATATTATAGGTGTGTAAACTCAGCAAAATATTCTAAAAGAGTCCAGTAGCCCATAATAGCATTGGGTCTTCTGTTTAACTGGAAGTCAGCTTTTTTTTTGCGGAACCGGGGATTGAACTCAGACACTTGGGCTTGCCAGGCAAGCGCTTATTCTACTGAGCCATCTCCCCAGCCCCTGGAAGTCAGCTATTTTTTAATCAAGAAAATTTTCCTTCTTTTTTTGTATTTTTAGGGAAGGGTCCACAGGGTGTTCAGGGTCTCACTACTAGATTGGATTTGTAGTGATCTGCCTGTTTATAGCCTCCCAAGAGCTGGGATTACAGGTGCGACACCATGCACAGTGTCAATTGCTTTCTCAGCGTGCCCTGGGGGTGGGGAAGCACCGTGGGCACCACAGGCCCACGGATGGAACCCCAGCCCATGCACCTGCTTGCGGGCACTTTAATCTGTTGAGCTATTTGGCAAACCCTAAGAAAATTTTCATTATTAGCTGGTACCTATATCTATGAGTTGTGGTGGGCTCCATTTAAATGTAAAGTTATCTTCCTCTCTAGGACTGGCCGTTCCAACAATTAATTTTTATTTCAGTAATACGGATTTAGTCAGCCACAATGTGTTCTTATAGAAAACACTCCATTTTAAATACTAAGTCCCTTCCTTTCTTCCCTCAAATACTTTGATTGAGGCTGAGGAATTTTAGGGAACCTCCTTCCTTGGTAAAGAAACAAAATTAAGTTTTGTATGGATATTCCTCCTTACAAAAACTTCACAAGAACAGAGTAGAAGAAACATAAGATGCTAGCAGGACAAAAATGTTACAGTGTTCCAAATACACTGATCAAAAAGAAAATAAATAAATAAATGATAGAACATTAAAAAAACAAACAAATACACTGAACAGATGAAAGGAAGATCTGAGCATGGTAGAGCAAAGTGTGACAGAAAAGCTCATCATTCAAACCCTAGTAATGAAGCTTCACCTACCAACAGTTTGCACCCGTCACTCTTCACTTCTGTAAGCTTGTTTATTTAGTACCAATGTGACTACTGTGGAGAATTGGAACCCCTCATGTGAGATTCAACACTGGAAATATGGGGGTGATCTGGTACCTATACTTATGGGTTATTGTGGTGAACTCTGGATGAATGTCATTTATTTTGAGGGATTATAGAGCTAAATTAAATCTTAAAGTCGTTGAAATTTTTTTTGTGTAAAAGAAGGCGTGTGTTTTGTTTAAGAAAACAGAAACAAACAAAATTCACATGTGGTTGATATTGTGGGAAAACCGCGATCATTTCTGTGAGCTCCTAGAGGTCAGGGATATTTTTTTTTTCTTTTTTGGCTGGCTCAGGATGCCTTCAGGGCAGCTCTGGCAAGGCTTAAGGATCTGGGCATCAAACCACAGCATCCTGAGCCTGACTGCTTTATTTAAGCAGTCACTTAAAGAGCTGAGCTAATGGGGAGGGCCCCTAGGTCAGGGATTACAATATCTTGTTAAAAGTCTTGGTATTCCTTACAAACAGGACTATGCCTGGCACGTATAACGGATGTTCAGTGAATGAGTGAATCCGTGCGTGGCCCGCTATGGACTCAGAGACACTACCTTGGCTCAAGGTAGAGCTGCTGCTTCTTAGGTGGAGCTAGGAGGGAGTCATTGGAGGACGTTTTCATGCAGCGGGGAGGAGTAGGATTCAGGACCAGCCCCGGGGAAGATAAACGGAGTTTTTCCGTAAGCATTAGTACCCTATCTCATTGTCCAAAGCACTTGGGTGATTAGAAAAGCCCAGCCACTAGTAGACCTGCACAACAGCACACAAAGCAAAAATGTACCAAGTGTATTCGTTCCATGCTAGTTTAGGGCTGTATCTCTTGTTACGTTTTCTCCACAGTGAGTGGTTTCTACTGTTTTTTGTCTGTATTTGACAATTAGCCGTCACCGACTTTAGCTGCAGCCGGTGCCCAAAACCACACCCACTGCGAGGCCTCGGAAACTTGGAGCTGGTCTGGCGGCGGCTCGGGCGCCGGGCATCGGAATCCCACGGCCTGCGCCCGGCGCTTGGCAGCGGCTACGCGGCGCCCGCCCCGCGGGGCCCTCCCCGCC